AAAGTCAAGTTATTGAAAGTTTCTGGCTGATAAAAGAAGAAGTAACCTCCTTCTTGCAAAACTTAGATACGGAGGGAGCCAGAAAGCACAAACAAGCGAAATATGCTGGTCGTGGCTTTTTTGAAAGATATTTTGAAATATTCAAATGCTCTCAACACAGAATCACAAGGAAATGGCAAATTAATATGTGTCTGCTTTCCATCGCAAGCTGGATATCTTTAAAAATGATATTGCAAGACAAGAATTTATTGATATTCCGACCATTCTTCAATATAAAAGGAACTCTGAAGAAGACATTGCAGTATTTGTAAAATTTCTGGCCGATCTTAGGAACGAATTTGCTACAAGATTCCAAGACTTTGCAGAGATGGGCAAGCTATCTACGTTTCTTAAATCGCCAAGTTGTTCAATCTGTCAAAGGCATCACTTCAAATAGAGATATTAGATTTGCAAGAAGGTGTGTTTTTGCAAATATATAAAACGGTATCCACTGAAGAAGTTTGGACCAAACATGTTCCAGAAAAATATTAAATTTGCAAGAAACTAGCTATAAATTTGGCCACTATGTTTGGCTCGACATATGTACGTGAAACATCTTTCTCAAAGAATAGCGTTTTGAAAAACAAATATCGTTCGAGATCAACGGACGTTCACCTAGAAGACATACTTCGAATTTACCGTTCCTATCGAGAACCAAACTATAAAAAACTGGCTCGAGACCGTCGTTGTAATTTCTCACACTAATTTTAGGTCTTGTGTTTTATAATTCAAAATTTGATTTGGAACCAAAATAATAGATAGGTAACACTTAATTTTTTCAGTTGTATTGTTTCTCACAAGCGGTGCATAATTTCCAGATAATACTTCTTATTGACTGTAGGACCTTGTGGCAAGAATTCCTGATGCACTACGCTACGATACTCGAAGAGAACAGTGAGTAAAACCTTGATATTTGATCGAACTTGGCGTATTTTTGGTCTAGGCTCCCCTAGACTTTTCCATTGGGACGATTGGAATTTGGTTCCCATGTCATAACCATATATACCCATGATTCGTCACCAGTTATGAGCCTTCTGAGCAAATCTGGATCTGGGCGGTTTGTTTGGTCAGAATACAGCAATTTTGGAACGAACTTTGCTGATACACGCTAAATGTCTAAAATTCTCGATTAAATTGCATATCATCAGCAAACTGATATGTCGACATTCTCAGCGACTTTTCTAATAGTAATTCGACGATTCTCCATAACAATTTTTTCACTTTTCCAGCATTTTCAGTGGTTGTTGATGTGTCGTCATTCACATTGTACTACTTGTAATCATTGAATGTATGCCACTGCCAAAATTGCAAGTGTTTTTAGCAATCATTTCCATTTTTCACAAAGACTTTGATTCACATCTTTTCATCTATTTTTTTTTTCGATAAGAGAAAATGCCTCTCACCAACAAACTCAACATGCTGAAACAGCTGAACAGCTGAAATTGTTAACATATGTTCTAGGCGAGTGTACCAAAATAAAAAATATAAAAAATCGCTAATCGAATCACGTAGCTCGTGAATTTTGATCATTTACCTCATTTTTTTATACAGTCCACGTATGTATAATTTTGCCAATCATCACCGTTTCGTGCAAACATTTGGAATTCAGAGTAAGTGAAGTAGAAATTTGATTAAAGTTTATATGAACATCAGTTCTGTTTGGCAAACGTATACGGTAAACAGGTCATTGACTAGACTTCCTGTCACTCTTCCATTTTTTCCCAAGTGAAATAAAGCCTGACGATAATGAATAGATCCTTACATCATCATGAAGGCAATTCTTTTAGGGTGAAGCAGCGTCTTAAAAGTTTTAGAGTGCTGTTAAATTCAACGTGCCTCGTAGTGTTTTATTATGGAAAATAATCCCCTTTTCACAACAGGAAAAACGGATCGAAGTGACCTTTTTAGGGATATCAAAGAGAAAGGTAACGGTCTGGACTTTTTCAATGAAATGGATGAACTCCCTTGAATGCTTCCATTCTGAACATTTCTTATTTGGAATCGAGTTTTCAATTCAGTCAATAAATATTACCCTTGTCAATACATCCTTTCGAATAATACTTGAAATCGGCATGGATTGAATAAGTTCACGTCATATCTTATATATGAATATGTCCGGATGAGCATTCCATTTCTCAAACAATAATCTGCCTTAATAATATTATCTTTAAAATTCAACATTTTTCAGTTCTGAATAACTCTTCACTAATTTCTAAGGACAATGAGGATATTATAAAATTTTCAATTCATAGCTTATAATTATCATTACATATGGTGACGTCATGATCTCAAACACAAACTAATAATATGCTCAAGGGAATAAGTAGTTTCAGTAAGCTGGAACTCATTATACTTCATAATAATGTAATTCCCGTCTGACTAGTCAATACGAAGTGTCTAACATTATGAGGTCATAGTATACCTTTGGAGAAATAGATGAATTTTGGATAAAGATTTTGTTTGTGGTTTAGTCAAAGTAAAAGATATTGTGCACTCTGAAAGTTGTCTGTACTCTCAAAGGTCAAAATAACGACAGTGATAAGGAAACAGAGAATATGACTCTTATTTAATCAGAAATTGAATATTGAATAACGAAATTAGTTAGTTCCCTAACTATATTATTAAAGGGGAGCTGCTGCCAGGTAATACATGTAATTTGAAATTAACAGAGCCCACAAACACACCGCATTTGTTATCCAACACCAGACGGCGATTCGCCGTAAGTCTCAACAGTGGTGCAACCTTTGCGGGTTGCGATGGAGGGTCAAATAGACCCTATTGCTATTGTACAATATGCATGTTCATCATGGACATGTATCAAATGAAAATGAATAAAAAGCAATGTTCAAGCAATCATTTTCTTTGTTTAGTAATGACTCAAAAGACGTTAGATAGATAAAATGTGTGTGTTTTCATCAGAATTTTGTTATAAGATCCGTGTTATTAGCGGGTTCCACCTTCCTATTCAGACATTTTCATTTGTTGTGGAGACAAAAAAAGGGTAATCCATTTTCCACTCGATTTCAGCAAGCGATGAAAGATTTGCTGCTTCAATATATCATCAATATATGTAATCCCTGTCGAAGAAAAAAGGAACAAAAATTCTTATGTAATCGAAAGAATGATGAGCGTTCATTATTTTTTTCAGAAATACCAAATTTCTTAATGGATAACAATTTGTATTTTGAAGATCACTAGATATACCAAAAACCAATTACTTCAAGTTTCACAGACTAAAAACATTTGAAAAAGTGTATGCCCTTGAGAGTATTGCTGAAAAGTATGGACACCATACTGAGACTTCCTCCTATTTTTGTATTTTCAATCCCATCGAGTTGATTTGGGGAAAATTGAAACGAAGCATCAGGCATAAAAATAATTTTCCAAAATTGGATAAGATGGTCATAGAGGTAATTGAAGAAGAAGTATCTATTATTACCGAAGAAGACTGGCAGAAAAGGAATAAAAAAGTAATTTTAGTTGAGAAGACTATGTGGAGATTGGAGTGGAAATAAATTCATTATTGAATCAAATGACGACAGTGATAGTGAAACAGAGAATATGACTCTTATATAATTAGAAATGATTATTGAACAATGAAATTAGTTAGCTCCCTAACTATATTATTGAAGGGGAGCTGCTGGTAGATAATACATGTAATTTGAAATTAAATAGAGCCCACAAACACACCGCATTTGTTATCCAACACCAGACGACGCTGTTTCGACTCGTCGTAGGTCCCTACAGTGGTACAACCTTTGCGGGTTGCGATGAGGGTCAAATAGACCCTATTGCTATTATACAATAGCAATATGAACATGTATCAAATGAAAATGAATAAAAATCAATGTTCAAGCAATCATTTTCTTTGTTTCGTAATGACTCAAAAGACGTTAGATGGATAATATTTATGCGTTTTCATCAGAATTTTGTTATAACACCCGTGTTATTAGCGGGTTTCACCTTCGTTTCATTTATTGTGGAGACACCAAGCGATGAAAGATTTGCTGATTCAATACATCATCAATATATGTAATCCCCGTCGAAGAAAAAAGGAACAAACATTCTTATGTAACCGAAAGAATGAAAAGCTTTTATTATTTTTTTCATCGTTTTTAATAATTTGAGAATTTTAAAGAATGTTTGTTTCGATCATTATGATATTTGATTCAATTTATGATTGTGAATATCCACGTCGATAAACAAATGATGCATTGAAAAGCATTATTTATAAATAATAGATGAATTCATTATGTTTTTTTATACTAATTAATAGTAGAAATGAAATGTTCAATAGACATTTAAAAAATATATTTCCTTGTACATATTCCAATTCGAACGAAAATGATGCAGTTGGTATTATGTACAGAATAAAAAAAAACATCTGAATGTACTCAAAAACAACATCGAGATGATGTATAAGTATCTAGATATAAATCGAAGATCTACAAATAATCAATCTCTGGAAGGCACAGTTGTTGACTGATATCAAGGTTCATATTGAATGTTACTCAGTATCAAGTTTGTTGAACAGGTCCTTCAACATCGTCCATGAAAGTTTTTTAAATAATAGTTACTCCTCTTGAAAAGTAGAGGCACTAGTGCAATAACTAAGATTTGATTGTTCAATCTCTGTTGAGAATGTGTTCAATCTTGGTTGAGAATTTGTTCAAGAATTACTTGCAAAATTATAGGGACAAATTTCACATATTAAATTGGCTTATTAAGACGACGTTTCCATAAAACAAAATATAAAAAACTTGGTTTTAATTGTTTTTTCATGTTGAAGTGTCAAACAGAAAACTTTCAAGGGAAAAAGTGGAGTAAAGCTCGCCTCCTTTTGAAACTGTTTGAAGAATATGAGAACGTCGTCGATCTCGGTTATTTCGATTTTTTTTTTTCTGAAATTCTGATTATTATATTTTTATTATGTCCAGAGTAACAATTCTTATTTGTTTCAGATGACGAATTTGGAGAGAGGACTGTTTCTATTCTGCTGGACGGGGAGGAATCAGAAATGATTTTCATCGATCATCCTTCATCTGAAATGTCGGTTAGTTTCAGTTTTACATTTGGTCACCAAAAACTGTTGAATCTATATCAATAGTTATTCACATGAGAATAACATGTTTCCAAAGAGTTTCAAAAGGCAGCAAGAATGTTCTCAGAATCTATTTCTCTATTGGCTAAGTTGATGTAGTAGAAATAGAGTAATATGAAATGGAGAACGAAAAAATTGATAAAAGTGATGAGAAATGTTCCAGAGAACATTTATGTAAAATTACATAAATTCATCTATGCTTTATATTCATTATATTTTTAAAGCACCCAATTACGTTCTTTCCGTGCATTGTTCATTCATTTCCATCCAGTTATTCAGTTGACGTATTCCATTATCATTCCGCAAAATATTTCACAGAACAACTTTCAGGTGATAAATCATGAAATGTAATCATATATTCACACTAAAACCTTTGGCTTTTATGTCAGTTCGTATTAATTGAACTCTGAATCCGATATTCGGTTGATATGTCACAAAACCCCAATCACGCTCGAATTGTTCAATAATAACTAGGAAAAGAGAAATAAAATGAAATATTTACCGTTATGGACCATCAAAAAGATTGTGTCGACGCATTGGTGGGAGTTTATCCGTTCAGTCAACAAACAAAAATTCTCTGCAGGTTTCTCCCAATACCCAATTGAAGCTTTTTATCCCTCAGTCGATTTTCCATAATTTTTTCTCAGGGTTTTTTGATTTTGAGTATTCTTTGACACCCTTCATTAGAGATCACGCTTGTTATTTTTAATCAGTATTGATCTAACTAAAATTAACTCTAAACAAAACGAAAATTAGTGCTCTACTCTGTTGTCTCGGTATCGTTGTCTACGTTTACTAAATCCATGTCCTGTGTTCTCGGCTGAGAGCTCCGGGTTTGTATTGAACTCGATATAACCTTTTTACATGTTCGAATTTTTCTACTTTGTTCGTCAGCACAGCTTGCACGGGATAGATGCCAAAAACTGAGTCAAATTTTTCAGACCGGTACAAAATTTTGATTTTGAACGACAGTAGATATAGGGTATAGTTCAAGTAAACGATATACTGCAACCTACTTTCCAACAGCTCCCTTTTGATAATATAGTTAGGGAGCTAACTAATTTCGTTATTCAGTAATCATTTCTGATTATATGTGTAATTGATGACTTGTTTACTCTATGGTAATTCATGATCACTTAAATGAAATGAATTAAAACACTTTCGTCTAAATACCACTGGTAAATTTTATTTATACGACCGGTTTCGGGTTTGACCCCATTATCAAGTATAAAACTGAAATCTGAATTTTGAAATATCGATTTTATTAGAATTTTCAAATATGTAGGATTTTGAGGTTATCTTCATTTATCTTGTGGTTTTATCAAATCAAACCAAATCAAATCAAATCACAATAGCTTAGAAATCACACGTTAAAAGGCGTTGAAAGACCTCGTTAGTCCTCAGCTTGTACAAGTTTCTCAACTTCTGAGAGTTGTCGTTCGTATGGGGACGACAGCTGATTAACGGAAAAACAGACTTTAAAGAGATTTTTCTTCAATACTACTTACTCACATATCTAATATACAATCGATCGCTTCAAAAATACTTCACTAATTTTCTGATAATTTCTCTTCCATATTTTCTGTTTCACTATCAATGTCGTCATTTAAATCAATATTGAATTCCTTTCCACCATTGATATGAAAGTGTCCAATCTCAATATTGTCTTTTTCAACTAAAATTACTTTTTTAATATTTTTCTGCCAGTCTTCCTCAGTAATATTAGATACTTCTTCTTTAATTAGCTCTATTACCATTTTATCGAATTTTGGAAAATTATTTTACGCCTGATGCTTTTTTTTCAAATTTTCCCAAATCAATTCGATAGGATTGAAAACACAAAAATTTGGGCAGAAGTCTCAGTACAGTGTGTCAATACTTTTCAGCAATACTCTCGAAGGCATACACTTTTTCAAATGTTTTTGTCTGTAAAACTTTAAGTAGTTGGTTTTTGGTATAGTAATTTTCAAAATACAAATCGTTATCCATTGAAAAAAATTGTATTTCATCTTTCCTGAATTTGTATTCGGTACTTTGATGAGGTGTCGCGAATGATAGGGAGCGTTGTCAAGAACTATTACACTATTCGTATCCACATTTAGGATCGATGTATTTTCAAATCATTCTTCGAAAATATTAGCTTCCATGTTCTTATGATAGTCAACATTGCAATCCTCAAGTTTTTTTCCACATAATTTCAAAGTATACGGAACCCATCCTTTACTTTCTCCGCAATGCACAATGCTCAGTCGCAATCCTTTGTTTGCAGGCATGTTAGCCATACACATTCTCGAACCACCAGTTCACCCTTTCGTAACTGTGTCGTGAGTGTCATACCAAGTTTCGTCCATATAAAAAATTTGTCGTTGTTCTTGTCTATATTTAGTTATTTGTTCTAAGCATTTGTTACGCAATTCCACTATTCCTCTGATTTCCATAACTGCTTGACGTTTGTTCATTATTTTAAATCTAAATACTAGTTTCTTTATCCAATTCTGAAGAGTTTTGTCGCAGCAGCTCACGTTACGGCCGGAAGTATTCAATTTCTTCCATATGATTTCAGTTGTAGGAATCTCATTGCTTTTGTAACAGTCGTATATTGTTTTTTCAATGATATTATTTGATGAACATCTGATTGTTTTGGTAATCCTGTATCATATCGCGTCTTGCGTTCATAAGGTTTGTTTTTGACTATTTTACGTACAGTTGAGAAAGAAATTCCGGTCAAATTTGATGTTGCTTGTAATAGTTTGTTTCCCTCGAAACCAAACTTGAAATGTAAATTCTATATATACATTGAAATATACTCCCTGTGTTTCAATATTCAAATACATCCGAATCATAGTCACTGGTATCTCTTTTTCGAATTGTTCACCATCGCCATTGGAATCACTACACTGGAAGAAGTCTGCGTTGTTATCACACATGTTATTACTATAAGTCTTTGCCCAAGGACACCACATTTCAAACAGATAACAAAAATTTTGAGTAATTATAATTGCACCAATATCGAATTTCAACACTCACATCGCGATCAGTTCCTGAATTATAACACGACGGCGATAACCATCCCCGCATTCCCCGATTTCTATTCATCACCGTAACATGACTTCAAATTCAATTTCATGACTTTTCAGCTAAGCATGAAACTCGGTTAATAAAAATTATCCGATACGAACCGACAATTCTACAGTCCACGTGGACTAGTTCGCAGCCGGTTCATTTCTATGTATTGGTTTTTTGGCCTTTGAGAGTGCCGCTAACTTCAAGTGTGCACTATATTGTTTACTTCGACTATACAAAATTATCTATCAATCAGTATGCCCCACGACACAGTAGAATAAATATTCATTGAGATATGGAATTATAGAAACACATGACATTAAAACGGACAATTTTTTTCGAACGACCTATGAACATTATGATGCACTGTTTGGAACCTTTGGTGTAGTAATTAATATTACTGGAGGTTTTCCCAACACCAAATCGTTATTTTTAACACCTCGACACTTGTTTCGATTACCAAGTGATCATCTTCAAAGAGGAAGATTAAAACTAGAAACTAGTGCGAGCTAATCCTATTTATGCTATAAAGGTAACCCATACAGGTATAACCATCCAGGCGTACCAACCATACAGGTATACCAACCTAAATTAATTTTACAATTCTGCCTTATTTTTCATTTCCCAATATATGTTTATATAAAACAATTTTCAGCTATGTAAAAATTAATTTCACAATATTGCCTATCCAAATTTATTTTTGCAATGTGTCCTGATGTAGTAATCAGTAAACCTAACAACATTATTTTATTTTAACAAGCTTTGGTATAGGTCCGTCATCGTTATTCATAATATTATTGTGTTTATTTATTTATACACTCTCATAGGCATCTAGTCTGTTGTTGTTAACTTGTCTAACTAATCTTAACGAACTGAAGTCTATGAAATGGTTTTGTTGCAAAATATGATGGTCGACTGCTGATTTTGCAGGTCTTCCATATTTTGAGTGTGCTATGTGTTCCTTATATCTTACTTTAATAGATCTTTTTGTCTGTCCATTATATTTTGTATCGCAGTCCTTACCTACAATTTCGTAAATTCCAGACTTTTCCGAATTCTCGACTTTGCCTTTTGAACTTCCCAAAAGGCTCTGTAGTGTATGACTTGTTTTAAAAACCACCTTCATCCCTAGTTCTTTGGAAATCTTTCCAAAGTTCCTCGTATATTGGTGGTATGGAACTGAGATGTATTTATCTTGGTTTTTGTCCTATCTGCAAGTCGAGATTTCGTTCATTCTTAACCTTAACTTCTTTTTCCTTATTATGTCATCTACAATACCCCTCGAGAAACGGTAGTGGCTGCTATTTCATGTATTGTACGTCTTTCTTTTGTGAACCTATCATGTGTTAGAGGGAAAGTCAAAAGACGATGCACTAAAAAATTCAACCCAGCACGTTTGTGCTGTCCACAGTGATGTGAACTGTCAGGAATATACCTGTACGTTCTTGTTTCTCTTCTAAATAAATCGTATTCTAATCCTCCATATTGGCTCCTCATTACCAAAACGTCAAGAAATGGTAGTTGTCCCTTATTTTCTAACTCATACGTGAATTTCATTGATGAACATCTATTATTTAAAATGGAAACAAAGTCGTCAATATTCGATTTTTTGGCATCGAATATCGCGAAAATATCATCCACATTCCTTAGCCAAATCCTAGGAAAATACTTCGACTTTTCTTTGGTTTCCATTTCGAATCTGCTCATGAACAGGTCTGCCAGGCAGGGGGGCAAGGGGTTTCCCATGGCCGTTCCTTCATGTTGTTCATAAAAGCAACCTTCTTCCCGGAACCGATTTTGTTTCATAAACAATATATACGAGGAACTTTGGAAAGATTTTCAAAGAACTAGGTATGAAGGTGGTTTTTAAAACAAGTCATACACTACAG